GATTGCTTTAAATAAACACTGATATGTTATTTAAAAAAGGAGAAAGAAAGATGACACTATATATGCAAGATAACACAAGGAAAGCAAGTTCTACCAGGATGAGGTATCAGTCTATTTGCTGCTGTATTGATGTTTCTAGCCTTGTTCTCATCTGGAATAGAAATGAGAAATGACCAAAGTCAAGTCCTCAATAATCAATATATATATACAAGAAATAACTTGCATGCATAGTAGCATAGTTTAGGCCCTGTGAAGGCTCCTACCTTACCCAGCAGCCCACCTATCTGTTTCTCATGGGCCATCAGTCTATTCCCAGGCAGCCTGTATACGCACCCAGAAGAAGAAAAGCAAGTAGAGTGAAAGAAAAGCTATATTTAGATCAACAGCACAAAAAAAACATGTACCGTCTTTCTCCATTGCTTAGGCTGAGATGGAGTGACATCCTCACTTTCTGTCCCTCCACTCACCCTCATGATTTTCTTCACCTCAAGCTCTATCGCTTTTTCCTCTTACTTTTTTCTCCCTCCAAGCTGTTCTCTTGTTAATCAGATACCTGATTTAATGTTGATATCTATACTCTGTTTTCAGATGTTTATAAACAGAATCAGGAATGCCATAATGGATTTTGAAAGTTATTTCCCATTATATATTAGTATTTGACTTAGGATGCCCTACCATTTAAATATTTTCAAGAGACACAATAATGATTTATTTTACATTATGATACATCTTTTTCAAAACCCAAAACATCCTAATTCTAATGATCATAATTACTTTTATTATATAAAAAAACTCCTAATTATATAGCTATATAATAATTATATTATTTTCAGATTTTAAATCCCAGATTTTCAATATAGCTTTTGGACTCTGATGTACTTCTATGAAATAATTCCAACTATGGTCCCTGTTACAGCTGAGGTATGTGAGTAAATGTTGCCTTGGCTTGTTTGTTTTCAAACTCACCCACTTGCAAGCATGTGTATTAAGTGTATGAAAGAAAGCAAAGTGGTAGCATGGCTTCAAGATATGCAGCTCTAAAAGCCACAGCGGACAAAGTTGAATGAAGAAAGAGCACATGCTTCAGAGAGAGGGCTAAACAACCTGGGGCAGCCTTGGGCCTCTGTAAGCATGCTGATTTAATACAAACTGAAGAGGGAAAGGGTCCCTATTCATGCGCCACTGATTCAGTTTCGGTACCGTCCCATTATGACAGAGTGCAAGCTGACTCACCTTGACTCGCCTCGTGTTCGTGGAGCGTCCTGCATCATGTTATAATTGTCAGGACAGTAATGCTGCTGTGAAGGCATCCATCCCCGACCTCATTGGGCGGAACAGATTTACTCTCAGTGGGATCAGGCCTGGAGAGATAAGCGGACAGGGAGAGAGGTTATCTAGATCAGCCTTTCTCAAAGTGGGTGCCGCGGCACACTGGGGTGCCCCCTGACTGTGTCAGGGGTGCCACCAAAAAATTACGTAGGCTAAAAAATAAAAATAAATAAAAAATCTGACATTTCATAATATATTTACATAAATACATTCTTCTTCTTTTTAAACATATGAACGTATTAATAAAATTGTAAATTAATTTTAGATAAATATATACGAAAATATATACGGAAAAAAACGGTGTTGCCTACACCGTGTTATCCTCTTTTTAAAATTTGCACCCTGTTGACTTAAACGGGGCAAGTTCTAAACCTGCTTTTAGCCTCTTAACAACCTTAATGTGTCATTACAAGTGCACAGCCATGTGAGAACACGGTGAATCTGACTGCAGTGCAGTAAATGTGAAAGATATGAATAAAAATTATGTTTATTCAGCCAGCTGCTCACATACCCGTATTTTCTTCCTGTGTTCGATCGAAGTCCACAGTAGGCGATTGCCGAGTGCGCGCGCGCGATCATTGGTAACTAAGCAACAGTGGAGACTCAGACTGTCAGCCGATGACGGTGCTGTGTGGTTTTCTGAGAATCTCAGCTCAAATGGATAGTTCATCCGAATCAGATGTTGAACACACGGAGAAGGTTTGATCACGCGCGCGCGAACTCGACAATCAACTACTGTGGACTTCGACCGAAAACAGGATAAAGAGATTATTCCCTGCCTTCGTGAAAGCTCGGATCACAGTTGAGACTGATATATCAGCCCAGGCATCCACGATCCATTGGCAGATAGTGGCGTAAATCGCCCGGCGCTGTCTCCCCGTCTTGGTGAACGTGTGTTCACCATCCATGTAGTAGGCGCTCCGAATTATAAGGCGCACTGTCGTTTTTTGAGAAAATTAAAGACTTTTAAGTGCGCCTTATAGTGCGGAAAATACGGTATATAAAATTAACCATAAAAATCCGTCTCACAAGACCGAAGCAAGACACACACACAACTTGACGCAAGTGACGCAGCGGCAACCCATAGCGACGCGTTATTATAGCAACAACACCTCAGACTGACAGAAACGTAAAAATAAACGTGAATTTAGGCCACTTTAGTGTTGTACACATTATCATGTTAATTATAAGCAAATAAATTTTTTTTATTGACCACAATATACCAAAAGGTGCTATAAAATTGTTATTATTATTGTTATTGTTATTTACAGTTCGTATTATGCTCTGTTCATACTGTTCTGTCTAAATAAACAGGACATTTGCATTTACATTTGGGTTATGCAGTGTTTTCAAATTATATTTTACACTGGGGTGCCTTGAGATTTTATGCACTTTTGAAAGGTGCCCTGACTGAAAAAAGTTTGAGAAAGGCTGATCTAGATCAAGACTCCCTGGGAGTTTGTGTGAAAATCTTCCAGTGCTGTGAAAGATACAAAACAATGTAATCGCAACGGACCGGTAAATCCTCTTAGTGCTATAACAAAAGCATCACTGCATGAATGCAGTAACCAATAGAACAGACTGAATCAGTTTTATCATGATGCTATGAAACATGAGGGTATGTGATCTTCTTTATTGAACTGTTGTAAAGCAATTTAAAAAAGTCCATTTTACAGCAATATTCGCATTCACTTTGTGTATTTTTGCTTTGCCAACTAAAACAGTTTCAAACCAAGTCACAGGAGAATCGCCTGTTGTGAATCTGATTAATTCAGTGTTTTGGAACAAATTGTTTGAAGTCACTTGTTTCATTGATGAACGAAACAGCCTGTTTGAACGAATCATTTGACTGAATGATTCAAAGACTCAAAACCTGCAGAAAAAGTTGGAACGCGACACCAACGTTGAAACGCCCGTTGGAACCAACAAAAAGTTGGAACGCAAAGAAGCGGAGCGATTTAAAAAAAACTGTGAAAAAAACCCCAAAAAAATCTCATTTAAAAAACTGGAACTGTTGTATAAAAGTATTTGGGCCACTTATTTCAGTGGTCTCTATTGAAAATGGCATGATCATTTAATGTCTTTCGGGTCAAAACACTGATTGTTTTTTTTGTTTCGTTTTTTGGAGTCTATTATCATTAATTCACATAGGATTTAAAAAACACTTAATTCACTTTTAATTCACTGTTCCCCATTATAGGGCACCAAATGCATTAGTGCAATTGGTTTCCCAGCTGTTTCTCATCAGGCAGATGTGTTTGTTTGCATTGTTAATTCATGCACAAGTGAGCTTCAGTCTGGTCCTGATTTAATTTTTGCATTAGCTTCTGCTGGTGTTGGAGTCTTCTGCTCATTGGAACAAGCAGGAAATGAAAGAGAAACCAGGGAACTACTACCATATGGTACATTAGTGCAGTAATCAGATTAATTCACAAAAGGTTTGGCAATTTATTAAGTCTTTTAACAATTGTAAAGAAAAGTGTCAGTGTATTCAAAAACAATGATCACAGATTGGCTCAGAGACAGACTAAACTACGGCATGCAGTTAGTATCACGAGTCTTACAGATTTTGTCTTTACAGATTACTCTTTTTGTCTTTGAATGTACTGAGAATAGGTTACATCTGAGAAGCATTTATGCATTTGTATGTAAATAAGATGAAAAAAATAAGGATAAAAAAGTTGATATAAATGAGGCATGGTCTAAAACATTGATCCAATTTTTGATTACTTTTTGTTTTACTTTCATATTTTAAAAACAAGTAAAAACCAAGGCCTATTATATTGAGTATCCCTGCCATACAGAATGGTTAAAAATATGAATATATTTATGTAGTAATTATTGTAATTATGGATACCAATGTGTACAATAGTAAAGTGACAGAACTGGGATAGTTCATCCCAAAACGAACATTTTGTCATAATTTACTCCCTCAAGTTGTTCCAAACCTGTATGAATTTCTTTCTTCTGCTGAACACAAAAGAAGATATTTTGAAGAAGGCCAGAAACTAAACAGTTGATGAACCCCATTGACTTCCATAGTATTATTTTTTTCATGGAAGTAAATTGGTTACCCATATTCTTCTAAATATCTTCTTTTGTGTTCAGCAGAAGAAAGAAATTCATACAGGGTTGGAACAAAAATTTTCATTTTTGGGTGAATTATCCCTTTAACATATCACATTTAGTCATTTAGCAGATGCTTTTATCCAAAGCAGCTTACAAATGAGGAACATCTGTATTTCATCATACAGAGCCAACAATGACACAAAAACTAGCCTACCTGTTACCTTTGGTTTACCAAATATGTGGCCCGAAACTTCAATGCTTTGTAGCCTACAGATGTTCAGAAAAGAATAGGGATATAATACTATGGCGAATGTGTTTAAAAACTATATGTAGCCTAATTAATTATATTTATTTTTACCTATTCAGGCTTGCTTTTAATAATAGCAACACTTTGGGCATCATAATGTGATGGGTTTCACTTCACCCACACCCACTTCTTAAAGCACCTCTGTGTTTCCTGCTGCTCGTGTCTCGTGTGAGAGGTAAACATCTCCTCCCCCGCAACACTGGCTGCAGAACCGCATCTCCAGTGTGTGTGGAGCAGGGAGAAAATGGAGCCTGATTGAATGTGAGAGCAGGCAGAAGAAAGGCAAGCAGCGGAAGAAAGGCAAGCAGCGGCAGAGGGAGGGCGTTTGCTCTCACTGAGCAGCACAGCTCGGCTGCTGCAGTCAGGGCATCAATTTTGTATAGGCGTTGAGTGCAGCGCCAGTGCGTTCGCTAGCATCAGAGCTGAGGCTTCGGCTTCCCCTCTCTCTACCAGCCTCTTTACTCGCGTCTCGCTCGGACACGGAGTGATGGGGGGCGATACGAGCTGTCTCTATAGGCATGTCCGATTCTAGCGCAGCACTGCTCAGCTGCAAGGTAGGGATAGTTTGCTTTCTCTCTCCCTCACTTGCACTTTATCTCTGTCACTCTCTCTCTCGCTCTCTCTTGCTCACTCACTGATTTTCTCTCGCGCGCTCCCTCTCTATTACATTTTCACTCCATGTGATTTTGTAATCAATCAGTGCTGCTTTGGTGAAGTGAATGAATTTTGCATGCATTCTGCCTGGGTCATAGTCTATTAATATCCTCATGCAAGCCTTTTTTATGAATAAATTATTCTCAGTCGAGATGGAGCCTTAGCTTTTCGACCAGCATGCAGACTCATCAAATGCATTCAGCTGCATTAAATGTTTAATTGAGAACATGTATTCTCTTTAACTCGCTCATATCTTTCTGTGGGTGTGCTTTTAAATTGTATTGCAAGCAGGTGATATGTCGTTTTGAAAGGCAGAAATGTCCATTCCAGGGGCTTGACGGTAGCCTAATATTTTTTATTAAGCAGGGTCAGAATGATCCAGTTTTAAGGTGAAACATTGCACTGAAAGGTGACAAAAATGCCTCAGATATTTATGTATAAGTTTTTATTTAAATGTATTATATTTAATCTATTATAAATGTATTTACATAAACTTAGGTCAATTTTAATTCTTCTGTTTTTGCTTTTATCATTTCATAATTTTATTCCATAATATAATATTTTTGGTCTGTTTATTCACTTGACATAAATTCGTGGCATGCTGTGTATTTTATATTCAAGAAGAAATATATATTTTTAATAAACTCACCTAAATAAATCCCTTAATATCAATTCCAATGGGCAAATATGTGTAATAAAATAATAATAATTATAATTTAATTGCAGTCAATTTAGTTCAGCCTTTCTTCTGATACTGATTAGACTAATAATATAATGCAAAAATGCACTGTTGTTGCATGTAGTTGATTCTTCTGTGATCCCTGTTCTCATCACAATCAGGATCTGTCCTGCATCATCTCCATGTTCAAACACATTGCAGCAGGCGTACAGGAGACTGGGAATCAGATTCTGACAATATGAATGAAAATAGGGCATGAAACTGTTTGAAGTATAGGAGAATGAATGACTGTTATCTAACAAGCCTTGTGGACAAGGGGAGGTTCATTGATTTTTACCCCCTGTTGACTGTGTGCTGCTATTGCACACACAACAAGTTGTGCTAAACACAGAGCTGCCAACATTCATATTCACATGTATCTGCGCCTGCAAAGCACAGCAGTTGAAAGAAAAGGCAAAATACAATGCTTTAAAAATCTGGGATTGAAAATGTTCTTTAAACCTAGAAATAAACAAAGTTTAAGGATTTTGAAAAATTCTACATTATGATGTCAAGTATGTAAAATGATTACATTAAAGGGGTGGTTGATTATTATTTCACTTTTTTAACTTTAGTTAGTGTGTAACGTTGCTGTTTGAGCATAAACAACATCTGCAAAGTTACAATGCTCAAAGTTCAAAGCAAAGGGAGATACACTCACCTAAAGGATTATTAGAAACACCATACCAATACTGTGTTTGACCCCCTTTGCCTTCAGAACTGCCTTAATTCTACGTGGCATTGATTCAACAAGGTGCTGAAAGCATTCTTTAGAAATGTTGGCCCATATTGATTGGATAGCATCTTGCAGTTGATGGAGATTTGTGGGATGCACATCCAGGGCACGAAGCTCCCGTTCCACCACATCCCAAAGCTGCTCTATTGGGTTGAGATCTGGTGACTGTGGGGGCCATTTTAGTACAGTGAACTCATTGTCATGTCCAAGAAACCAATTTGAAATGATTCGAGCTTTGTGACATGGTGCATTATCCTGCTGGAAGTAGCCATCAGAGGATGGGTACATGGTGGCCATAAAGGGATGGACATGGTCAGAAACAATGCTCAGGAAGGCCGTGGCATTTAAACGATGCCCAATTGGCACTAAGGGGCCTAAAGTGTGCCAAGAAAACATCCCCCACACCATTACACCACCACCACTAGCCTGCACAGTGGTAACAAGGCATGATGGATCCATGTTCTCATTCTGTTTACGCCAAATTCTGACTCTACCATCTGAATGTCTCAACAGAAATTGAGACTCATCAGACCAGGCAACATTTTTCCAGTCTTCAACTGTCCAAGTAGTCAAGCACATTTGTGAGTCAGCTCAAACTGTAGCATCAGTCTTTTCACATGCAATAGAAAGTCACTCTGTGTGCATCTCACAACAGTTCCTATACAAGCGATTTATAGATTATCATGACAGAATATGCTAATTGAAGATAGTTAACTCCACATCAGCAACATAAATTCATCAACTAACCATTCAGAGATGTCCTGTTGCATTCTACATGTTGTCACTTCTTCTTAGTCTTTCCTTATTTGTCTGACTCCGGTTTAAACATAAAAGGCAGAACAGTTTCTGACATTTTAACATGTGTCTGCATGAGGTAAACGGAGCTGCTAACGCACACACTCTTAAAGCTCCGCCCACTGTGTCGGGAGCTGCAGCTCATTTGCATTTAAAGGGCCAGACACAAAACGGTGCGTTTTTGCTAACCCTCAAAAAGAGACAACTTTAACATGCTATATAAAAATATCTGTGGGGTATTTTGAGCTAAAACTTCACATACACACTCTGGGCCCATCAGAGATTTATTTTACATCTTGTGAAAAGGGCATTACACCACCCCTTTAATCATGTGAAAGCCTTTGTACAAACAGTCAGATTTCCATCCTCTGAAGCTCAAGAAAAAAAAATCATGATCATCATGTTTTACACAAAATTGTGGAGTTCATGCAGCTCGAGTGTTGCTGTCATTAAAGCAAAAGAAAGTTCTGTCATGACAACTCTTTGGGCCCTATCTTGCACTCGGCGCAAATGACTTTGTACACTGACGCATGTATCATTCCTATTTTGCACCCGCGCAAAGTGGACTTTTCCCTCCACAGACGCACGTCGGTTAACTAAGAAATACACTTGCGCTCCCCGGGGCGGTTCAGCGCAAAGAGGAGGCGTGTTCCGGCGCAAACTTTCCCTCATGCTATTTTGCTGTTCTATAAAACAATTGCGCCACTGACCAGAAAAAACCTAGTCTAAAGTCAGTGGCGCGTTGCGCGTTGTTCATTATGCTATTTTAAGGGCGCATGCTTGGCCATAATCAATGTAGCGTGTGCACAACGCGCATAGGCCTACACGTTGATTCTCTCATCTAAGCAGCAGTTTTCATTTTTGCATATCATACATTATAGATAGATAGATAGATAGATAGATAGATAGATAGATAGATAGATAGATAGATAGATAGATAGATAGATAGATAGATAGATAGACAATTTATTATAAAAGCATACATTTAGCTTACACATTTACCCAAATTATCATACGCCTGTTTAACAGAAGTTAATTTGGGTGGGTTTCTCCATCCCCAATGTCACTTCTCTGTGTTTTACGGCCCTGACGAGAACGTTGCTCTCCTCGGCTGTGAACCGCTCCTGGCGCGCGCCTGGCAAATCCGCCGTTATAATAGGAATCCGCTTTAGAACAAGCGCACCTGCTCTTAAAGGGAATGTGAGATGACGCTCTGATTGGTTTATTTCACGTTACGCCCAAACCACACCTATGAATAATGAAGCTACTTCAGACCAACCCCTTTTAGATTTGCGCCAGGCGCAAGAGGCATTTATCCCGCCGGGAAAATAGCAACAGCGCCGGGATCCGCCCACAAAGTTACTTGCGCTTTGCGCTTTGACACTTGCATTTCAGATCGTTAAAATAGGGCCCTTTGAGTGTTTGGCATGGCAATGGATTTGACAATGTTGATATGTTTGGTTTTGGTGGAATAGTTCTGCTACTCTACTGTTGGCTATTGCTTCTGCTGCAGAGCAAGTACGAGACTTACTACTACCAATACACAACACACTACAAGTAAGACATGCTGCTTCTGTACAATATAGCATACATTAAAATTGAATTACCCATAGCACATATATTCAGGTGGAGCTGGGGAAGGTGGAGGGTTTCTGAAAGCACGCTGCAACTGCTACAGCAAATGCTGACCAAGTATTTGAAGGTTGAGCATGCAGTGAGCTCATTGTCTACTGATACAGCAGGAACCAATCAGCTGTGCCCTATTGAGAATGATGTGATTGCAAGCAGATTAAGTCAAGGACCAATCAGCCTTCGCCATCTAGAGTTTCATGACAGAACTTTGTTTATAAACATTCTGAAAACATTCAGAAATTCAAAATAATTTTTCAATTAAACTTTTGGTAACACTTTACTTAAAGGATTAGTTCACCTCAAAATGGAAATTTCCTGATAATTTACTTACCCCAATACCATCCAAGATGTTCATGTCTTTCTTCAGTGGAAAAGAAATTAAGTTTTTTGAGGAAAACATTTCAGGACTCACACAATGGACTTCAACGGTAACCAAATTGTTGAAGTCCAAATCAATGGAGTTTCAAAGGGTTTTTGAAGTGCTTCAAAGGGCTCTGCACAATCCCAGCTGAGGAATAAGGTCTTATCTAGCGAAACAATCGCTAGATAATAAATTTATATACAAAATAAAAATGTATATACTTTTTAACCACAATTGTTCGTCTTGTGCTGGTCTGCGATGCGCCAGGCATTACGTAATCACGTTGGAAAGGTCACGCTGGACGTAGGCGGAAGTACCGCCCCATTGTTTACAAGCGTGGAGAAGGAGGATCGTTCAAATTTGATTGTATGTTGAATGACATATTTATGTCTTTGTGTCAGTTTATTGTTTAAAATGGTCATTTCGTGTACGCATCCTGGATGTTTAAAACATTGGGGCGGTACGTCCAGTGTGACCTTTCCAACGTGATTACGTAATGGATTGTTTATCCGCTCGGCTCAAAGTCCAAACGGCAGCGCAGCGCGACCAGGAGCCCGTTCTTCGTAAGTCGCTAACTCACTAAGCTGGATTTGATTGTTAGCGATTTGGCATGATCTCGGATGTTTTAAGCAACGTACGAAGAAGGGGCCCAGAGCAC